TACTATTAGGCAGCTTCTGGGCCATCTGAATGCCTTTACTATAAGATTCTCCTTCTAACAAGATTTTAAAAATCCCAAAATCAACTTCATATTGCTATGTATTGCTCCTGTTTCCCCCTCCTTTCTCCCCCCACCCACTCTTTTAAATAAATGGTGCTTTGGAAACAATTGATTTTTCTGAATAGTGCATTGATCATACACCTAGCCTGGGGAGAGAGCATAGCTTCAAAAACAATAATAACTAAGGCAAATCATCTAATTTTAGTGAAATAAAAACTGAAAATGTACATCCACTAGAATAATCTGTAATACGACTTTTGATGCCTTGCGCTTGTACTTTATCCTCACTGACACAGTAATCTACTAAAGTTCCTCTCACAATTTTTCTCTTTGCAATCTGGAAAGAACAGATTCACCAGTGATTGTGCTCATTTATAAAAGCATCCAAAACAAAATTGAACCCCAAGGCTGATAAACTATAAAGATGCTGATCAGATCTCAGCAGCAGCAGAATGGACGATGCTTTGGGGCTCGCTCAGCTAAAAGACGGCGCTAGAAGACGAATGACTTTATATACCCAATTACAAACACCATAGCTTTGTCGAATGAATGCGGAAATCATAAAATATGTTGCGTGCCCTTTATTAAGTAAAGAGTGGTATTTTGTAAAATACTTGTGAAGATTTACTAACTTTTCCGTAATTTAATTCCCCGTCACTGTATTTCCTTTCTGTTGCAGAAAACTTAATCAAACAATCATTTGGAAAGAACAATCCAATAGAGCAAACTTTCCAGTCCCGAAGAAAAAAAAATCGCTAATTGATTGTGTTTATCAGTAAAGATCAACTTGTCTGCTTTCACATACAGTTCATACGTTTGCAGAAGCGATATAATAATACAATATCTATTTCTATTTCTGTCTAACTATCTATCATCTATCTAGATCCTTTGCAAATGAAATAATGAATTTAAAAGTTCGTCTGAGTGCTCTCTACTTTGGCAATAAGCTTGGAGTTGGATGTAAGACTCAGAAAATATTTATGGGGGGAAATATCCATGAGAAAAGTCACATAAAATATCTATGGGGAAAGTCGAAGATAGGTCTACTCCCTCAGGAAAATCTCTTCAGTTCCAGCCTTCTCCACCTTAGGCTACTTGAGTTCCAGCTCGTTAGGCGACTTGATTTTCCTGGTTCCACCTTCCCAGAAGCCCCTTAAAAAGAGAGGAGGAAGGGAATGTAAGTAATCTGTCATGTGGTCCTCCTTAAAACTCCTTGGTTGTGCCTGGAGCACGGCTGAATCTTTCCTTCTCCTTAAAGCCTCTCCAGTTTGCCTCCCAGTTCCATGCCTTTTAAGCCCTATGGCTGCACACACACAACATTTTTACTTGCTTTTGCCCCCTGCGTAGTCAACGCAACGGGACATGGGTGGCGCTGTGGTGTAAACCACTGAGCATTGGGCTTGCCGATCAGAAGGTTGGCGGTTCGAATCCCCACGATGGGGCGAGCTCCCGTTGTTGGTCGCTGCTCCTGCCCACCTAGCAGTTCGAAAGCATGTCAAAGTGCAAGTAGATAAATAGGTACCGCTCCAGCGGGAAGGTAAACGGCATTTCCATGCGCTGCTCTGGTTTCACCAGAAGCAGCTTAGTCATGCTGGCCACATGACCTGGAAAAACTGCCTGCGGACAAACGTTGGCTCCCTCGGCCAGTAAAGCGAGATGAGCACCACAATCCCAGAGTCGATTGCGACTGGACTTAACTGTCAGGGGTCCTTTACCTTTTTTAGTCAACGCAACAGTCAATCTATTGCCCATGAAAAGCACTACTTGGGGAACTGGTTCCATTCTGAAAATAAAAGTTCTTAGCACACTGAGTCTGCATTACCTTGCCACGTATCCATTTGTAAATAGATGTCAATGGTCCTGCCAATGGCGGGGTGTGTGTGTGTGTGTCTGCACCTACGCAATGACATTGTAGGCAGGTGTATCACCACTTCCTTCTTCATTCCCCTGGGGGTGTGTGTGCAGGGATGGAAGCCTAACCTAACCAAGGGGAGGGCTTTCAGACCCATATCAAAGAACCACACCTACTTTTGTGGGATGTAGGATGTAGAATCAATCTAGATCAAAAGCAGCATGTTGAGGATGAGTGGGAATATTTTGGGTGGAGAAACGGAATGGGGCACAAAGGAGCAGAACAGGGTGGGCAAAGCTTAAGCGTGTGCCCCTGGATATGCGTGGTACCTCGGAATGCGACCCCTGCATAAATGGGGAGTTGCCTGCATCCTATTGTTTTCTACATCCCCTAGAGGAAAATTTACTCTCTTTTTTAAATTGAATTTATATATCGCCCTATACCCAGAGATCTCACCAGCCTCCACCAATCCAGCTTATTGGTTCTATGTTCTTGCGAATTGTGCAAAGAGAGCAAAATAGGTTGTGCGACTCTGCTTCCTCCTCCACTGTACAAACCTCAGTGTAATCTGACAATCTATGGCATACTCTCCAGCATTTCTCCGATGAAAATGGAGAATAATAATAATAATTTTATTATTTATACCGCACTCGTCTGATTGGGTTGCCCCAGCCACTCTGGACAGCTTCCAACATAATAGAACATTAAGCATTAAAAAACTTCTCTATACAGGCCTGCCTGCAGATATTTTCTAAAGGTTGTATAGTTACTTACCTCCTTGGCTAGGGGTCACATAACTCCAGACTCAGCTATGCAGCTGCAAATATAACGTTTTAAGTGCCTTATACAAATGAGACACTAGACGGCGATGGTGAGCTTAATGGCAAATTCAATATATATTTTAAAATGTTTTTTTAAAAAGCATTTTCACAGAGTTTTTTTTAAAAAATATATGTCTAGATTCAACCTCCATATCCTCCATACATCTCCAATAGGAGAAAATAGGAATGTCCTAAGGAAAAGTGGGACATTCCAGGATCAAATCAGAAACCAGGCTGATTTCTATAAATCCAGGTCTGTCCCTGGAAAAAATATGGACACTTGGAGGGTCTGCTATGAGCTAAAAAAAATGTAAGTCCTGGGCTGGTGGTGTAGCCTTTATGCTTCTGCTCTTGACTGTTGTAGTCCTAAGCACACATACTAGAGAGCAAGGGAGGGATCCTAGCTCCTGATCAGAAGAAGCAGGTCTGAACAGAGGAGTGGAGCTACTGCCACAAGCCAAGACCCTGACACTTGCATTGACCAGGGTGGAAGGGAGGCAGCTGCTGCAGCAGAGAAGGCTGAACCAGGTCCAGCTCTGGCTACTTGACCAGCTTAGGCTACAGCAGAGTCTTGGCTACTGCCACCTCTCCTGATATGAGGGCCTGTTGAGATGGATACAGGGCCAGCTATAGCCTGTCAACAGACTGTGCTGCCCACAAGCGCAGCAGGGCCTTTGTGGTGGTGAAGCCCTCTCTCCTCAGCAGAGCTGGACGGAAGGAAACCTCTGGAGCATCCAAACCCCTCCACTTGCACAGATTGTTCCATAAGTTTCATTGACCTCTGTAGGACTCCTCAGAACATGTCCTTAATAGTCCGGTATAAAAGTTGAGTCTAAAGATGCCTGTTGCTGCTATATATTCATATGAGTTGATGGCGGCGGCATTTCAGCAGCAACAAACTTGTTCCAAATGCAATGGATTTAAACAAGCGTTCTTCCCATCTTCGTATTTTTCTTCCTTCCTTTCTTTCCCTCCCAAAACTGATCTAGCTTTAATTCATAATTACAAGCTTATTCCAATCTCTGCATAATGAAACCACATTTTAGACCAACAGCTGTTATCTAGTTTCATTGACAGCCTCGGGGCATGCATATTTTAATATTCATTTACTATGTGCCGATAAACTAAATACTTCCTACTGGAAGTCTATCAAATTAATCACAATATCTTACTTGCTGTTCTGTCTTCCGTGCAGCATTCGCTTCTCTCCCCCACCCTCCGCCCCACAGCCTCCAAAGTTGCTGTGCTATATGGACTTCCATTATAAAATAAGACACTGAGAGAATATTTTGCCTGCAAAATGTTTTTTTTTTTAAAAAAACAAGCAAACGAAGAACGTGTGATCCCACATGCGATAAAAGGAATGAAATGCATTCGTTTTGATGACCCAACTTTGCTTGTCCCTTACACGATCATGCAAAAAAAGCTAGTCTAAACCTCACGACATTGCCTGGGGCAATGTTTTTAATAGATGGCTTTGCTGTTTGAAAGGCTGTGATTTTAACTGTGGTTTAAATAGCATTAGGTTCTCATATGCATATAATGTGGCTTAAAGGCTGATGGCTTCCCGGCTTTCCACAATCGTGTTTTCAAAACACCTTGGTGTTAGACCATAAAACAAGCAGAGAAAGTTTTGTCCAGAAATGCATAGAATGAGCAGGAGATAAAAAGTCCTGCAGCCTATTAAAGTTTCAGGCTGTTTACTGTGGATAAAGGATGGGCGAAAGACTCTAGAAGGGCATGGAAACAGATTACCTCACAGATGAGTTTGATGAGGGAAGGCAATAATGTCAAGGCTGGGGATGGCGAGATGGATTTCAAAGGCATTTATTTTTTCTGGAGCAATGCCCTCCTTTCTCCAAATGGCTGCAGAAGGGCAGTGCTTATAAGCAACAACACAGAATAGCTGGCTTGTCTGCCTCCTGATATAATCAGCGGATGTTCCGCCATCAACTTAATTGGAACTGGCTTCTGTGCAATGAGTTTATATTAGGGCTGTCGCCAAATTTCACCTAAAGTGATTCCCCCAGCTGCACCCGCAAATTTGAGCGTTCCAGACTGAGAGAAACATCTGAGGAATTTTGAAAGAGCAAATGATTTTTGTTAAGCCTAGTGACATTTCCTACGGCAGGCTGGGCACATCTCTCACATCTGGAAAGAACTCCAGTGAGTTGTTCGCCAAAGTGAATCATAGAACCACAGAGTCGTAGAGTTGGAAAGGACCATGAGGGACATCTAGTCCAACCCCCTGCAATGCGGGAATCTTTCGCCCAACTTGGGGCTTGAACCCACAACCCTGAGATTAAGAGTCTCGTGCTCTACCGACTGAGCTATCCACAGTGGTGGTGGTGGTGGCTGTCTTGTTGGGTATCTTGGCTTTGTGACAAAACTCCCCATGCAGTGTCCTTGTAAGAGGAAAGAGGCTGTACCTCATTGAGAGGGTCCGTGTTTTGCATGCCAAGGGCACTAGCTTCAGTCCTCAGCATCTATAACGTCATGATTAAAAACATCATCATCAACAACAACAAAAACAGGTAACAATCTAGACCTCTCTAGCTGGGAGAACTACTGATAGCCAGAGCAAATAGTTTTGCTCTTTATGGGTGGTGATAAGGCTCAGGCTCCAGCTACACTACCAATATTATTATTATTATTAGGCAGTTCCCAACAGAATATTAAAAACACGCTAAAACATCAAACATTAAAAACTTCCCTAAACAGGGCTGCCTTCAGATGTCTTCTAAAAATCAGATTGTTTATTTCCTTGACATCTGGCGGGAAGGCATTCCACAGGGTGGGCACCACTACCGAGAAGGCCCTCTGCCTGGTTCCCTGTAACTTCGCTTCTTGCAGTGACGGAATCACTAGAAGACCCTTGGAAGTGAACCTCAGTGTCCAGGCAGAACGATGGGGGTGGAGGTGCTCCTTCAGGTATACTGAGTTGTATAAAATTACTTTGAACAGTCATTGCTTCCAACAAAGAACCCCAGGGACTGTAGTTTATTAAAGGTGCTGAGATCTCTTAGGAGACCCCTGTTCTCTTCAGAGAGCTAAAATTCCCATGTGGTATCGCAGCAACCTTCCATCTCTCTGTTGTGAATGCCCTGCTGCAGTCTCACCTGGTTGGGCAGCTGCTCTACACCGAGTCTGGCTATTGGTCCATCTAGTTCAGCATCATTGGAACCAGCCGTGGTTCTCCAGGGCTTCTGGCAGAGGACAATCCCAGCCCTGCCTGGGATCTTTGTGCATGCTGTGATGTGAGCTCGCAGGCCTTCCCCATGGTTTACGGTTCTTGTGGAAAGACATGAGGCCACAGAGACTCAAAGCTTACCCCACAGCCCTTTGGATCGAGAGCCCATGGCATTAATGGATAAGCGCTTGAGATAAGCAAATATACCTGGTACCTGGCAAGACTTGATTTCAAGATTTTATTTCCCCCCTGTTCTGAAAAGGACGAGAAATTCAAGAACGTCAGCATCTTCTAAGGTGCTGCATACATTTCACCGTAATCTTAGCTCTGGGGCAGCTTTTAGGATTATGCCTACATTCTTACAAAAGCTTCCTGCAGCCACTAGATGGTCCCAGCAGTTGCCTGTGTGTGTTTGTGAGAGGGAGACTGCGACACAAGATGTTGTGTGAGGTAAATACCATTTTCACAGCTGCTGGGCCTCCATGGAGCCAGTTTTTCAGGTGCTGAAATGCCTGGTTTTAAAGAGCTGAAAATGCCTCATGGAATATGCTGTGTGCAGGCAGATCTCATTAGAATCCAGTCAGAGACCAAGTGCATATCTACCCTTGTAAATAACATGCATTTCAGGAGCACTGCTGAGAGGGGGGGGGAACATCTGGGAGTTTGAGCAGGGGAAATATCAACCATCAATGGCCTACAGAGAAACAGTTAGTCTACCCCTTCCACATGCTGCCCCGCCAGTCAGAATGATAGCACCCACAGGCAGCTTTTCAGTAAACAAAAACAAACAAACAAACAAACAAACACCACAAAGCAAAACAACACTGGAGGTTTTATTCAATGCATTTGCCTGGAATATGCAGCTTGTGCCAACAATACATTGACTTTCAGTGAGGATGATGTTGTGTGCATGTGTCTTTCTAACACACATTGCCACTTCAGACTGCAAAGAAGGCAGATCTATACTTGAAATTGTCATGGGACTCATCTACACAGCGATTTATGACGCTATAAATGTGTTATATAACAATGTGACACCAGGTGGCGCTGTAGAGCTGAAATCTGAAGTCAATAAGAATTTGCATTGTGAGTTTTAAAACGTTTCTTTTCATAGCCTTTTTGGTATAGCTGCATAGGTTCAGCTGTGCTTTCATTACCCCTGCTCCAAATGAGACATTTTTGGAACTTGTGAAAAAATGGAGAATGAGTCTCTCTTTGAGACCTGCAGAGTGTTATATTTGCAGCATGAGGATGACTTGAATCCAAGTGAGTGTGACATTCCCATCTTACCCTTTGCGAGCTTGAACTGTTTAATAATAATAATAATAATTCAACATCCAACAAACATGTATCCTGAGTATAAAAACCTCTTCTTAGCACTCCAGAGGATCTCAGCATAAGAGTACCAGATGAATATTTGCTGCGGTTCATAGCACGACAACATGCCTCAGTGTTTAGTAGTGGGTAATACAGAACACTTCGGGCATGTGTTGCAATAATGAAATAAAACACATACACAGAGGCTTAAAGGCTAAATCCAGGTTTCTTGGAACCTAGCAACCTAGGTTCCAAGAAACCTTGGAACTGCCAACCTAGCAATTCAAAAGCACACCAATGCAAGTAGATAAATAGGTATCCTTGTGGTGGGAAGGTAAATGGTGTTTCTGTGTGCTCTGGTTTCCGGCATGGTGTTCCATTGCACCAGAAGTGGTTTAGGCATGCTGGTCACATGACCTGGAAAGCTGTCTGTGGACAAATGCTGGCTCCCTCAACCTGAAAGCGAGATGAGCGCCGCAACTCCATAGTCGCCTTTTACTGGATTTACCCGTCCGGGGGTCCTTTACCTTTGTCTGTGGTGATGTTTGCATGGGTCTCAGTGTAATGACAGGAGTTGTGCATGTAGCCTTGAGTGCTGAATGCAGAGGCTCCGATCAAGGCTCAGGCGTCAGGCCTGTGGAGTGTTTGCATCATAAGAACAATCACATAGCCTCCAACAACCTGGGGACCAAAATCAGCTTTTGTTCTGGCATCCTGACATGCGCCAGAACGCTGGACCAAAAAACCCCCATGGGACATTCTGGTATCCAATCAGAAGCTGGGATTGGCTTCTGTAATTCTGGAATGTCCCGCTTGAATCGGGACAGTTGAATGCTATGCAATCATGGACATTAAGAATGATGGCATCCCTAGATCTGCATATGATATAGATATATTTATAGATCTATATATGTAATCAGCATTTTTAGAAGAGTCGCAAGTTGTTCATCTCTGCATGTATGACTCTCCACATCTTCTAAAACATTATCTTCAAGAAGACCGAGAAGGAACTGAGTTCTCTGAATTAACAAGCAAGCCATATTTCCAGCCATATTGTATGTACATTTCAAGATCTGAGCAGCAAACTTGGGAATGAACAGACGCCTAAGTACAATTCAGACTCAGCTGCTCTGGTTTCCTGAATTGGTTTTCCTAATAGAACTGAATGATTTAAAACATTTGTGTTGAAATAGCTGAAACCCCATTTTTAATGCTAATTGAAGAAATATTACTCGCATAAGCCATGAATTGTAATGCCTTTGTTCAGTCCCAGAACAATTTAATTGAAATGATTGAATCTATAGCAGGGTAAATGTGGCCCCCAGATTGCTTCTTTTCACTTAAGACCACATCTACACTATATATTTAAAGCAGTCTTGCAACACTTTACCTGTCATGGCTTTCTCCAAAGATTCCTGGGACCTGCAGTTTGGTAAGAGCATTGAGAGTTGTTAGGAGATCCCTGTTCCCTTCACAGAACTACAATTCCCAGGGCGGTTTAACAATCATCTGGGAATTGTTGCTCTGTGAGGGGAATAAGGATCTCCCCTCACAACCCTCTGCACCGATAGCAAACTATAGCTCCCAGCATTCTTTGGGGGAAGTAATGACTGTTAAAGTGGCATAACAGTGCTTTAAATATATAGCATGGATGTGACTAAAATGGCTCTTTCAAATCCTGAAGTGACTGTGTCAACACTCAAAAAATTATGTACATAGCACTGTGTTTTTCATTAAATTAAAACCCTGAGGGTTTGGCTATTTCTCAGGGATGCATTTAGGCAGCGGCGGGGGTGGGGGGAGTTTCCCATCCTGTGTTTCAAGACCCACATCTTATGATTTCTCAGAAGCACCTATAGTGTTCTTCAAGTGGAGTAGAAGGCATTCGTGTCTGCTGGTTCCTCTTCTTCTGAACTTTGCATGCTCAGTAGAGAAGTCTGAAGGGGATTTATAACCATACTTACGTTTAGTTATTGTGAGGTATAATGACCCCCCTACAAATGTTCTCAATGTGTCACTTTTTTGCAGTTTAAGACAGAAGCTGGCTTTTGAATCATACACCACTATTGGAACATATTTGCACCCTCCACCTAAAATTGTGCCCCTTCTTGTCATGCCACATGGTTTGTCCCCTCCTTAAAGGCCCCCCCCAAGTATACATCATTTAAAAAACAAGCACCACAGTAGTATGATATCATCAAAAATAAAATTTAATTGTTTAAAACGTTTCTTCACATTTGAAGTGTGCGTGTGTTTGTGTGTAGAGGATTCTTTTTTTAAAAAAAAGACATTGTCTCACTCATTTGCATCTGGAGCTTGACTTCTCCAAATATTTTTGATCAACAGAGGAAAATGTGGAAAGATTACATTGCAGGAAGCTCATATCTGGAACTGATAGATAGTTTAGGTGGCAAGCTTTGAACTCCCTTGGCAACCAGCAGTTGAAAGAAATCACCTTACTTTCATAACTAGGATCTTCTGCCAAGTTTACCCTGTTCAGTTCTAAATCTCTTACATATTTTAAAGGATTAAAGTTAAAGATGAGATTAAAACTTTCCTCTTGGCTTCAAAAAGGGAAGAGAATTCTCTGTACACACATTACCCAAACCTCCTTTGCTGACTGGGAAAACTGCCCAACGAACTCTCCCCTTTCCCTTAACTATTTCTTCTCGAAGGATCTAATCTTATGGCCAGCTGAAATTCATCTTTAAAATAGTTTGTGCTTAGACTTTACCCAAAGGTTGTACTTCATCGTTTGACACACAATAACTTGGGCTCCTTTTGAACTCTTCTTTGAATTCTTAATTCCAAAAAGTGTCGTTAATTCGG